TAGCTTCTGTTGGAGAGAAAAAAAAAGAGAGAGACTTGGGGCAGGTGCCCCCCTAGCAGTCAAGCTTACCTGACATCTGCTCTGCAGCCTGCCACAGCCTTGCTCAGGGCCTCCCTCTGAGCCTGCAAGAATAGGATTTGTTGGGACAAATGGAGATCTGGCCTCATCTGCTTTTGACTTTTACAGAACCTGAGCAATTGAGTTTCCAAACCTGAAACAGTATTTATTGTCTCTTTGCCTTTGCTTTGTATTTGGCCTAACCCAGGAGTAGGTAAATTGTGCTGCATGACTGCAAATCACTGAGATCCAAAGCTGGGTCATTTGGAGGTCAGTATCTGCTCTTTTGCACTCCTCTCTGTCCTTCTTTTTTTTTTTTTTTTTTTAAGAGCACTGCCAGGAACATTTTGGAAAGCACCAAAGAAAGCTGTCATTATATAAATCCACTAAAAATACATATGCCCATTATTTTAAGTTGGCATAGAAGCCAGCCTGTCATAACTCAGTTCAGTCTTATTGGCCTTAAATGAAGGATCATTGCACAACAAGTCTGTTACAGTGACTGTTCAGGTGTAGGACACGTTGGTGACAGCAGTCCTCTGTCCCATGAGCCACAGAGCACTGCAGAGTCGTGAGATGATGCATCAGAAATCTCCTGTTATTTGAGGATACGGAAATATCACTCAGGCGCTGCCTATAGACCATTGATTCATCATCAGCCAAATGGGAAATTTCAGTCTGAATGGCAGTTCTAAATTAGAAGGCACAGGGAAGTCTGCAGTAGAATAGCAGACTTGTCTCCATGCATCCCACAGTAAACAAGAATACGAAGTATTTTATAGAAAAATAAATCAGCAGTAATGTGGTTGGAATAGAAGCCACAGAGGGCCTACCCCCAAACCTCCAAAAAATGCTTGGTAGCATTTCATTTTCTTCAGTGGGCTTGGATCATAACAGGACAGGGTGGGATTTGAAGGTGACATCAGCACTTCACATCTGAAGCTAGAACAGCTCCACTTTTACATTAGTTTGAAGAAGAAAAAAAAAATATAGCACTTCACGATGAACTCACTTTTGCTATTCTGGACAGCAGTTGTTACTCGTTGTGCATACAGACTTACTGCCCAGGCAGGTCTTACAAAGGAACACAGTTTTACCTACTTTTTACAGGTAAGGAAATGGAAAGCACAAAGGAATGAACTGGCTTGACTGGGAACGCAGACCTCCCTAATGCTGGTGTCAGATCTGAGCTCCTGTGCCCTCCCTGCCAAGTGAAAGAGGTGCCAGAGGTAGGGCCAAGCAACAGCCCACACCTGCTGCATTTACACAGCCACGCATGCAGAGTGCGGCCCACGGTCCACAGGCACGTTACCAACACGAATTCACAAGCAGTGGAGCCAGAGATATCCTCTGGGATGTCCAGAGGAAATACACACCCAAGAACTGGATATCAGAGTTGTGCACAAATGAAAGAGCATTGATTTGGCTTCAGCAAGCGATTTCTAAAATAGCAGGTTTGCAGAAACAGATGCTATTTGTAAAGTGACTCTGTGGTTTGTCCAAACAGGTCCTTGGCTACAGGATACTATCCTGTCATCAACGACACTGGTTTTCATTTTTTCCTGTCTGGAAACCCCCTGTAAAATTTTATAGTGAAAGTAATGTCTTATGTAGCACATTAAACCTACTGTGAGCAGCCTTAAACACCTACAAAGCTGTTTTCCCAAGTTACTTCATCTGAATACTGGAGTCCACAGGAACCAGCAACCACTGCCCCACACTAACCTTTCTGGTGTTTTCTGTAAGAAAAGCCTCCACCTGGCAACTCTCAGTGCTCATGCAGCATCCAAGGGTATGTGTACTCCATCATGTTGCTGAACTTCACCGGTACAAATTCTCATGTAAATTATCAAAGTCCTGAAGCTGGGCTCATTTAATGCATATCAACAGCCACTAGTCCCTGGTTTTTTTTCCACAGAAGAAGAAAAAAAAAAAGAAAAGAAAAGAAAAAAGAAAACCCAAGGTCACATGCCCCCTCTAAGTGGGAAACAGTCAATTCTGTAATTAAATTGTGTGAGCACAGTTATGAACACAATTAAGGTAAAATATAGTCTATTGAAGTTGGTGGGAGCTTTATTATTAACTAAAGTTTCACCTCTGTGTTTCAGATGGTTAATTCTCCTTTTCAAGGAAAGAAACCATTATTTAATCAAAATGACATGCATGATGCAATGCCTCTATCGTATTCAAACCTTCAGGATGTGTTTAATCGGTTCTAATTAAATTGCTATACAAGAAAAATGTTTATTTCTACTGATGTGCCTGTATGTACTCAAGGGAAAGCAATGCAAATTGCCAGGGATTTCGTTAACTGTTATTTGCACTGCTCTAAACTCTGATGATGTATTTAGCACGTCTAACTCTTCTCTTGCGCTACACTGAAACAGGTTGCTCTAAAATGAGAGCATTCCCAAACTGAAGCAATGCAGCGTTTATAGCAAGGTAGAGGAGGCAAACATTGCCAAACCCTTGGTGCTGTTAATCGTGAGGTTTAAGCTGCGCTTTCATAACAGCTGGGATTCTCCAGGGCTAAAAAGCCAATAAGCAGAGGTGGAGAGATGCTCCCAGATTGCACGACCCACAGCTCCTGGCACGACGCCGTGCTGCAGCGAGCCTGGCAGATCCTCCCTGGAATT